ATGTTAAACATCCACTTTTAATTGAAATTATTGAATTATATAATGAACTGGCCAATGCGACATCGTTTTTGTTGGTTACCCAGCGATGTTGGCACTTCTGGTAACTTAATGGCCGTCTGTGCTGCTAAAGCAGCACTCAACAAAACTGTAACACCACGTCTTCTTCCATACTCTGATTACAAAGCTATCATTAGAACTGATTTCCTTGGGTTGTCAGTCCAGATTGGAGGAGGTTATTATGCGACGATGTCGCATTGGCCATACTAGATATACTCATGAGTATTTTTTAAAAGGCGAAGGTCCTCCGTTTTGCATCCCTTGTGATGAGAGAATCATGGCCAGGCATGTCCTGCTTAGCTGTGTTGATTTTTCCATAACAAGTATTTCAACTATTAAGGATCATTTTACAGATCTTAAAATTCATGTAATCTTTGACTTTTCAAAAGAAATAGAACTGTTAGATAAAATTTGTAAATAGATAAGCATTTAATTATTGGTAGTTTAAATGAACAGCTGAGATTGTGGGTGGCTATACCTATATCCTCACAGGGGGTTGAAGTATTGGAAAATTATTGCCCTCCTGTGGGGGGTCCTAAAACATTCAAAGCCAATTAAGCTTACCAAATATTTAAACGTAGCATCTTCGTGTTTTAAAACTAACGACAATCACCAACAGCTGAAGGGATTATGTAAATCCAGCTAGGGTCCATGCAGTTAGCAAATGTACTGTACGTCCTCATGGTCCCTAGTATGGTGATCCACTTTCAGTTGCTGGTGACCTATGGCCTGTCTTTTCATATTGTATTGTCCTGATTAACATCAAATTTTAGAGATAGATGCTAGTTTCAATTCTTGTTTCTGTGATATCCTAGTCGGTTTTACTGTCCTTCATCGACAGTTTTGTTTTTCAATGTAACTATATTAATTATGCATTTATAACTAGTTTTAGTCACGATATGGCTGAAATACTGCCGATGTGACTATAAACATAAACTCACTCACTCACGTCATGCTCCTTATAGTTCTTGATGTTTCGTGAGAAGGAACGATGACAACTGTATTATGAGTGAGTGAATATGGTTTTACGGTATTAAAGTTGGTGTTAGAAATATTCCAGCAATATCACTGCAGTGGACAATTTCGGGAATCGAATCCATAACGAGCACTTGGCTACCCCAACGTCCGAAAATGTTACCGACAAATCATAATGAACAGCGGTGCACACGTACACCCAGTCTTCACTCCTCCCAGGTACAGATTCAGTCATCATTTTGAAATTACAAATATTACAACTGACCTCAACAATATCTATATTTATTCGCTTTTTATTTGATCCTCACCGCTGTATAACACTGTAAACCTATTCCTGTGCTTACACCTCCCCCAAATTAACCACTCCCAGTTTGTCTACATCCACCACAGTTCAGGAAATCATTTATACTCAATGCACGATAACCTTAAAGCCGATGTTCCAGATCTTGTACTTGGGTCAGTATCAGTCATAGGGTCTTGCAAGTTCCGATTTTTGGGAAATGCAAGATAGCTCCAACTCTCAACGTTGAATGAACAGTGACCAACACGATGCCCGATGCTATTCCTTGATTTGACTTGGTCTACATATTATGTGTTTGTTCAGGCGAACAACTGACTTGCCTTTGCATAAGGTTTGTTGTAACAAGAGCCATCCGTGGGTAAGATCAGTCCTTTACCTGGTGCCATCACTCTACCATGCTAATTTCTCAAGCTTATAATATGGCAAATATTTTCCCTAACGAATCGTGTCCACTGCTAACATAAGTAAATTCACACTTGGCTTTCTTTCGAAGAAGTAATACTATATACAGCAGAATATTTGGACAGACAGTGGACAGTTACTGTTTCAGCTGTGGTATTTGTGTTCACGGCAATGCCAAAATGAATACAACATTTATTTGAGTCAATAGTGCAACGCGATCACTGTTTAATATACAACAAATGCATGCATCAATGAACGTCTTAATCAACACTACATGGCAGTATCAGACTCTGTTTGTCCTTACCAACTGACGTCAACAGTAATGCAAGAACACGCTACTACTGAATGATGGTTTAACATGAATATCCACACTGATCTAAAAATGATTGTAAAAATGTACGAAAGTTTTGTACAACTCAAAATATGCATCATTATTATAAACAGCTTAGGCTTTGCATGTCACGTTGCAGAATACAGTGTGGTAACACGTAATTAAAACATCAATTATAAGTAAATGTTTAATTTTGCATGATGAAAAACACTGCTATATTAATATAAAATATCCTTAAAGAGAGAAAACGCCATTCCATATATGTTTCATAAAGCTGGTGTATACTTTACATATATGTGTTTAATACATCCATGTGTGGCCATGTTAAAGTTCTATTTCTTGCTGATAGTGAGCACTATAACCACACGGGTCTGTTGCGGTCACAGCTGCAAATAAAGATTCTGGTATGGAATGGGAGGAGATCATGGTCAGGTTTGTTTCAGCTCTTTTCGTGAGAACCCCCTCCAAGATGTCTGCTCCTCCAACCACTGTTCCAATGTGAAGCTCATATTGCAGATCCTTCCAAGGAGAGACAAACAGCCCGTCCCAGTTTAGTAAGATGTGCCTTCCTTTCCGAGACACAGCTATCGCAGCTGATCCTATAAATTTGAATTAGGTATCATATTTTATGAGTGAGTGAGTGAATGGGGTTTAACACATCGCTGAGCACATGTACCGTGACATTGGGATTCACGAATCATCTATCTATCCATGTGGGATATGAAAAGTCTCAAGATAGCAGTGATGTATTCCTATCTTTTTAGTCCGTAATACACATACCAAGTTCAATAATTATTGAATTAATTGCAAGTACAAACGTGTTTATCTTTAAAGACAATTACAATGCTGAATGTTAAATAAGCTGAATAACAACAGAAAACTTTAACCTGTTATTGTCGGAGGATTGCCATGGGTGGTAAGGTTAAAAAGAGTTGTTTCCCTTTGTGTCCCAAGCACGTTGTCTTGAGATACTGCCACTGGGTAAGAGGCCGGATTCTTGAGGTGCAGCCCACAGAACGAGGCGAACTCATAGTCGGTGTCTACACTGGTCTGATACGTGCCGGACTCATCTGTTACCTTAATCTGAAGTTTAGAGTCAACATGTACACGTCATTGCTGACAACTCGGTGGTCTTAGAGTAAATGATTTCAACTTAAATGACATGTGTCAGATTCCTGTCACACACTAATAGATGCAAGACAGTTAAACTTACCACGGTTGACTGGAGAAGATTCCGGGCCCACTGCATCCGAACTGTGTTGTTTTTAAGGCATTGACCACGTTGATGGAAGTACATGACGTTGTCCTCCATGATGACCGCCATTGTAGGCTTCAGTTGGCCATGTGTCAGAGTTACGCCATCGGAGACGGCTGACGACATCAAACCCACGTTGTTGATACAACGAACCGTTGAGAATATCTTCAGAGGAAGGCTAATATTGACGTTTGTGATGTCAAAGTTAGCAGTTGTTTGATTTCGGAGAACCAAATCAAACATCTTGAGGTCACTTTTACCTTGAGTCGTGCCTGGACAGAACACTTACTTTTCAGAATGTCTTTAATGCATGTATTAAACAATCCACAATCAAACGTTTTATCAGAAACAAATCGCTGTAGCAATACACGTTTACTTAATCTAAAAAAGACGAATGTGAAGCAATGAATGAAATAATACAACAGGTGAAACACTACTGCCGCACATGTAGTTGATAATGTGTGTGTGTGTGTGTGTGTGTGTGTGTGTGTGTGTGTGTGTGTGTGTGTGTGTGTGTGTGTGTGTGTGTGTGTGTGTGTGTGTGTGTGTGTGTGTGTGTGTGTGTGCTGAGACCAGGTTGTATTAAGAGGCATGGTGTTGTTATATGAGGTTTTTCATATCATTCATGTGATGAACCGAATAAGGTTGATTAAATTCAACCCGGAACAAGGAGTCCCCATGTATTGGTCTTCATCAACCCATGCTTCTGGACTATGATACCAATGACTAGAATGTCTGGTCCAGACTCCAAACATTTACAGAGTTCGATCATACAACTCGAAGTTTACTGAATTGGGTGTTAAATAACAACCAAACACCAAATTGACAAAGGGCACCTGTTAGACTTGTGTTTGTGTATATTTAGTCAGCGATGTTCCATCAATGGACTCGTGTGACAAGTATCTCTTCACAGAGGGCTATCTTCCTCAAGTACAACGAAGCTCAATGAACAATACAGATGACAACCGTTAACAAAACAACTTAGGGAATATTTACAATACCACGTCAGCTATTGAGGACACGTCAGTAACTGCTGTTGTTTTGGGGATATCATATATACCTATTGCCCAGGTACAGTGCAGAATTCTCGACTCAGCATCCTCGACTGCCCAGTTGACGTACACAACGCCCAAAGTCTGGTAGTCAATGTCCATTCCTAAACGAATAATACATTATCCTTAATGTTCAACACAGTTTTCAGCTGCAAATTACGTTATAAGGGACATTTTTAACTCTATATATGCAATCGTACGACCGCTTAAAAAATATGTCTCGTTTATCTCTGATGTATTATGTGTATATTTTAAAAGTATACTACAACCAAAAGTATGGGAACGCCCTAAAAGTCTGTCTTCCACATGCACAAGGTTGATGGGTTTGGGGGTTGGAATCAAACATGGTGCTGGTGTGTTTCAAAACCTTTGTTTTTTCGTTGTTTTTGGCAATGTTTCATTTCACTCAAACTCAACGAATATTGAATCACTTGCTTCACTGCATATTCCAACATGTCGTTTAAAGGGTCAATTATGCACACAACAAGTTGCATTTACCTTAGAGTATAAAATGACCTCACCACGTTTAAGTTTATATATGACCATTAAATATTTTGGAGTGTTCCCATAGTTTTTGTTTGTAGTATAGTTTGACAGAACCACAAGTATTTCACTTTACCGTATCCATCATTGATGTGAGAGAACACCGGCGGGGGTCATGTCGATAGTGATGGGCTCAGGGCGGGAGACGGTTGTGAGACCAGCAGCATTCCTGGCAGTGATGGTCAGGAACAGTTTCTGTTTGTGGGACAGTCTCAGACCGGACAGAGTTCCATGTGCGTGTCGACCAACACTCTTAAAGCCCTGCACCTGAGTTCCTCCGGGGACAGTACCTTTCAGAAAGATCTTATTGGCATTACACTAATTTGAGTCTAAGTATCGCTAAGATTACATCAGTGTCACATGAACAAAGGTGAGATGCTTGTAAACTGAAATCTGCCTGAATATTCATTGGATGTTATAATAAGGTGATGACACCAGGTGTCAGTGATATTCCCAGGCATGTTCTGCACATTTAACTACCAGTTCTACATGTAACTAGTAACAATACACCAATTAATCACGACACGGTAAAACTATAGTTCTTAGAATTTTATCTTTCTACACTTCTCGGCCGCCATATAGCTGGAATATTGTTGAGGGCGGCGTTCTCGAATCACATACATACATACACACACACAAACACACACACACAAGGGGTTAAGCGAACAAGATATAGACTTATATGACATTTGTTTCTGCAAAACGCACCCGCAGCCATTGTGTATTCTACAAGTGGAGACTCTCCATCATGAAAGTGCCAAGATACATGGACTGATGACCAGTGTTTCCGGAAGACAGCTTGAATCTTGATGTTACTTTCTGTTTCCAGAGTATCTGCATTCCCTACATGATCCACTCTTTGCAACAACACGTGATCCAGGGCCATTTCCATGCTGATTGAAGACGTCCCAATCTTCAGCGGTGTTGTGGCGTTCTGTGCCAGGAAACTGAAGCTATACTGGCTCCACAGAATGACTCGTCCATCTGTACCATAACACGAGTCTACACATAGGTGTGGATCGAGGCTGAAGGTAAAGACGTCATTCCCAAACGATATGAAACCTTCTACTACTTTCTGGTTGACAGTAATGTCCAAAGGATACCCAACATGGATGGTGGCTTTATATCTTCTGCCAACGTCAAGGTTCATGACATTCTGCTGTATGCTGCCTCGTACATAAACTATTGTTATCCCGTGTGTGGCATGGTGACCACCAGGTGTCAGTAGCTTGATGCAGGAGTGCCTCCCAGCCTTCCATGAAGGTAGTTCAGGATGACAGTCAGTGGATTGGCTAGTGCTTTCCTCAAAGGAGGGATTGGACACCAGATTTTCCCCTAGATAGGCAATGTCCTTAACTTCAGGTGGCGATGAATCAATGATGACCCCATCTGATACAACCACTGTAGATGTGTGGCCAACAACGTCTACTGCATAAACCTTCGTCCATATTTGTATTCCTGTAAATAATAACCAAAAAGGTCATAACCACAGTGATATTTTCCAAAATTGGTCATAGCATAGCATAGACAACAAGTCAAAAAATGTCTGCTTTAAAGTGAAGTTGGGAAGTGCATTTGAAAGGCATCAAATGTTATATTAAGTTTAAAGGAACTGTTTGAGAGGCATTCTAGACGTTGAAAGTAAGTGAGTTTAGTTTTACGCAGCACTATTCCAGCTATATGGCGTGGTTTGTAAATAATCGAGTCTGGACCAGACAATTCAGTAATCAACAACATGAGCATCGATCTGTGCAATTCGGAACCGATGACATGTGTCAACCAAGTGAGCAAGTCTGACCACCCGATCCCGTTAATCGCCTCTTACGACAAGCATGTGGTACTGAAGATCAATATTCTAACCCGGACCTTCACCGGTGACAAGTCTTTATGGATGATCAACTTCTTTATTGTATAATATCGACGTGTCGGTATGGATGATTATACTGTTTTCAAGTATCCATACCGAGACGTCGCTATTATACAATAAAGAAGTTGATCATCTATTAAGACTTGTGATTCCTAAGTTTAAAGGACTGGCATTCGGGTCAAATGTATGTGCACTAAAATGCAGAAGTAGTTAACGTCGGCATTATCTTTAAATATGACTAATTATGTCAGTTACGAAATGTTTAAGTTACACATGTAAAAATATTTGCATTTGCCGTATTTCCTATAGAATACTAGCCAACTTCCTCTTTGTGTCACCAATATTCCATTTCAGAACATCTGAGGATGGGTTTTTCAAAGATATCAAAGAGCGTCATACGACTCCTGAAAATTTGCACTATTAAAAGCTTTCTGATGCAATTTCTTATTTTGACTTGAACCATACATTCCCGGTCACAAACATTCGACACGAAATTTTACTATTACTATATCGAAGTTTAGAACGTGCACATGGTGGATTCCGCTCGACATGTTTCTGTGTTCCAAAAGTTCCGACTGAATGATATATATACACGATAACTACATGGCTGACAGAATTGACCACCAAGTTGCATTTGGTGATAAAGTCTTACAATGTTTGCAGTTTTGTTCTATGAATGAATATATAATGAAATTGCTTTAAATGCACAATGTTTTTGTATCGTGTAACTCATGTCCAAGGTTAAGCTGTATTATCCTTGCAAAAACAATCCGATCAAATATTTATGTTCCTACCATCAACAAGTGGTGACTCCAGGCGTGCCCTTGCTGATGTGTGTAGCCCCACATCCTGCCAATCCACGATGCTGCATCCAGATGTATCATTAGTTGAACCAACACACCAGAAATACTTGCTGATTGTGGAATCCTTGTCAGCAAACCCAAACCAGGAGGCAGATACCCGTGTCTGGTAGGACTGGTAGTCAACATCACCGGACCCTGGACAGTGACAGGAAATATGTTGACCGACTTAATATGACATGCAACTTACAATTTACATTCTGTATATATTCATGGCTGAATGTAACTGAAATCCTATGCCTACCGTCTCCATCTTCTACAGTCCCTGCTACTGGTGCCGTGACATCAATCTGCACCCCATCTGAGAATGCCCAGGCAACCAGTCCTGCTTTGTTATATGCAAGGATATTGGAGTAGTACATTGTTCCCGATTCCAGAGACAACCCAGACACTGTACAGTTCGTGGCAGTCATGTCAGACGACGCATGTATGCTGTAACCTGAAACAGGCCCAGTTAGATTTTATTTCTGAGAATTCAGATTTATGTGACAGAACTCAAACAAATACTTCGTTTGTCCTGAGCTACCATGGTTTGGAGACATACCGCCAGGTGAAGTACTTGTGTAAGCCCTGTATTTCAGGAGTCCTGTCTGTGTGTCCATCAGTACATTCTTCCAGCTCAGGTATATCCTATCTACGCGATGTTGGTAGTCGATGTCTTTCCTGTCTCCAGATTCCATGTGTTCTTTCACCTATGAAACAAATCATTGGATACACATTGGATACCATTCAGAAAGTGGTCAAAGATAACAAATGTTACATTTGGAATGACACTTTCTCAGCAAAATACTGATTCTAGGTTATATGTTAGGTTGTGTCCCATTCGGGTTCGAATTCACACTCTCGGAGTCAGGCATCTTATCGCCAGGACACATGGTTCGCTACTTATCCCAATAAGCCATCGAACAACTGGTAGTCCAAATGACGCACTGTGTGTACCCCTCTGAAAAGTGTAAATTGTCGGAAGGACTCAACAGCACTTCCATCTAAACTTTACTGAGAAAACGTAATCCTAATCATAGCATGTTACAAGAAAACCATTGAATGGTGACTTCGAAGCAAAATAGTTCTATCCTCTTGGCGCATTGTAATCGAATGTTGACTTTTGTTAATCAAAAGTCCGATCATGTTAATTTATATGTGGATAATCATGTCATTATGTACTTGATACGTGTTCTCTGGTTCACACGGGATTGAATTTGCATGGATTCCGAAAGTGTATTCCGCAAGTCACCCACCGCTATTCCTTGCAGTGAAGTTGTTCTTGGTGCTGATATATCAATGATGACGCCATCGGATTTGTAGATGTTGTATGTGTTCTCGTCATACCATGTCCGCACAAATACACTGTAGCTGAGTCTTGGTGTCAGCTCACGCCCTGTGAACATTCCAATACAAACCTCACAACTAAGATTACATGTGAGGATAGACAAACTGTATAGATAACAACTTCTTTCATTTTGCGAGTATGACGTTTCGATACAGATTCTTGTACCGTTGTCAGCTCATATATGTGAACATTCCGATACACACTTCACCACAAAGATAACATGCGGGACGTTCAGAAAATAGATATTACAATCAAATGAACGTGGATCAACATAAAACGATCTACCCACGTACCTTTGGGTAGAGTTATGACTGCAGACATTAAAGGTCCTGCATCAAACCACACTCGTTCGATACTTTCCGTATATATTCCTGTCGGGTATGTCCCACTTGAATGTCCGGCACTGAACTCGTACCTGCAAAGAACATTGTTGGCCTTTATCTTTGTTAGATATAATATTAGTGAAGGATGTGGCAGAATTCAAGAAGACGGTGTAACTGACCTCACGGGTTGTGTGGACTTTGTGTTGGTTACCGTCCATGATGCTGCAAGGAATGAGTCAAAGGGAGAGAAGTCCACGTCATTCCCCAACACAGGAGATTCAAGGGATTTCAGATCAGTGGTGTCTATGACTGTCAGTGAAGAATTCCCCATGCCTGGAAAAACGTAATGAAATGGGCATGGTCTCTCAGTGTTTTAAATTGTAATATTGTGCGACACAAAATTAGGATATGGTGTTTTGTTAGTTTCACTTTGATATAGGTCTGATCGCCCTTACACTATATAAGCATACCATTGTCCAAAATTCTGCACCCTTGACTACTGCCACATGTCCTGTCCTGGGCAGCACAGACACAGTGTCCCTCACAGTTGTAGGAGCTGCAACGTCTCACCAACTCTAGCTCGCCTCCTTCTCCCAGAACCAGCTCGGAATGGAGGGGGCTGCTCTTGAGGCCCACCTGCATAACCAAACGAACTGAACAACAAAGGAAGGAAGGAAATGTAAATGACATCTGACAACAAGGAAAGTCATCTTGTACTTACACCGTTTACTGCCCACATGGTGACGAATACAGAAGATGTAGAAGACAAGTCTTTGGTGCTGATGTTGAATGTTTGCACAATTCCCTCATCCTCCAGGTCCTCTCCACTGATGTTGTAGTAAACCTTCACCAGCGGGTCCTGGATATCGTGCACAATAAACACATTCAGATAAACCATACCGTTAATATCCTTCAACACATATATTCCATGGAGATATTTCACAGTACATCTTGTACATTATGATATGACATATGAAATCGAAATCAGATCCACTGAACCCTGAACTATCTACATTGAAAACTTCCGGACGGTGCAATTCATGATACAATTTCACAAATGACGAAACCTGTGCTAAGTCGGCAGCAAATGGTCTGGAGCCCACTGTAATTATGTAATGATCTATGCCAGAGTGTAGATCAGCAAACCCAAGCCAAGCAAGGCTAAGACTGGTTCTTGTCCAAGTCATCCAACCGGACTGAGTCCTTGACAATTTGGCAGCATGGTCCGTTTGTACAGCAAGAACCCCTGCAAAGGTGGGCTTCAATAAGATGTATGTGCTTGTAATTCGTTACAAAGAGAATACAAATTATTATCTGCGTAAAATTATGTTCAGAATCATGTTTATGATAAATATTTACTTACCTGTTGTTGGTACGGAGCTGTCGACCAAGATGCTTCCAGTCTCACTCTGTGTAGAGAGACCACCCATGTTGCATGATATAACCTTCACAATGTAATGACTTCCATCATGAAGATTCAGCTGTGTGAAAGTATATTCTCTCAAAGGTCCTGGTATCTGAAGACAAACCGTGTCTTCTGGGTTAGGTTGTTAAATACTTGAGACGGATAGCATTATGCAATAACACACGTTCTTTACACATGCATTAAAGCAAAGCAAATCTCGTTACTTTCCTGTTTTCAGTGACTGATATTACATAGACCCTTTTAACACCTTACTGTTGGCTCTCACCTCCATCATGGAAGAATTAAACTCCCCTAGCTGATGAGAGGAGATTGAGATGTACTGCTTCTCTATGAAAGACTCCTCGTCCTTCACCTCCCAGCTGACCTTCACAGTGGACCGACTGATCAGCGTCATGGCAACCAAGGACCCCCTGTCCTTCCACAATAGCAGGGGTCTTCACAACTTCAGGTGCGCTGTTGTCAATGATGAAGCCATTTGATGTTGATGTGGTGAACACTCCTGTAGTGATTGTTAAAATAAAATACCAAAATACACATTCATCGCCTGTTAAAATGTGGAGAAACGCAAGTGACATAGACTTCATTTTGCAATGGCGACATGACGTCATTATGAAAGAAGTACAGCATTTGTGGAATACAATTGCCTTTCCTGAAGAATGTGATGTGATAATTATTTAAATCTTTCAGTCTTATGTTTTTTGGACTGGATATTCATCACTGCTGGTGCTATAAAAAATAGATGGATTTTAAAGCTGAAATTGGTATTATCAGTAATAAATCTCTACACCATTTATACCTGCTCTGTTGAACGCTGTAACTGTTATATACATCTTGTTTCCGATGGGTAGCATCTGACTTTCGTTCAGTGTGAGGAATGCCACCTCTTTAAGGGCAGCATGCTGTGATGAGAGAATGTCATTGTCTCCTGGTGTGGTCCCCACCTGCCACTCATAGTGGTCCAGACCTGACTCTGTGTCCTGGAACCCATGCCACTTGCAGCCCAGGAACGTCCTAGTGACACAGACATAATTACACAAAGTACATAAAATTACTTCTGTAATAGTCTCCGGGTGATACAAGGGAGTATATAGTGCTATGCATAATGATTTATAACACATATTATAAGGTAATAAACGTTGATATTATAAGCAAGAACATGAGTGGATCTGGATGCCTGGCACTGGGAGTCTCGGTCTTGTGTGCCAGAGTTAGGATTAAGGATAAACCTTGATAGTAAAATCACTAAGCAGGAGTATGAGTGGACCTGGATGCCTGGTACTGGGAGTCTCGGTCTTGTGTGCCGTCCATGACGCTGCCAGGGACAGGAGGACTTTCATCCAGGATAACACCATCAGATGTTGCGCTGCTGCACAGTCCCGCCATGTTACAAGCTGTCACTGTCACGTAATACCTGACACCCTCAGCGAACATAATGTGATGGAAGACTACATCTAGAAAAAACATTACAAGTTTGTTATATCATAGTTGCATTCAGTATAACATTGTGGGTTCGGAAACAAATGGTAAATCCTAAGCTTTAGTTTCGGAAATTGATGGAATTGGGATCAGTTTTTTGGAAAACGATAACGAGCCATTAACATAGTGTTTGAAACGGAAAGAAAACAAAGCACTCAGCCACGTTGCATTGAAACACTGGATTTACAGTCTTGAATTACACAAATTGAGGTTGGATTTAGTTTGAGACTCTCAGCAGCTCAAGAAGCTGGCCTCCAAAATTACATATTCATATTTCAAATAGGGAATTAACTAAACATAGTAAGCACTGTTTATAGTGACAAAATATTTACACTTTATCTTCCTTACTTAACTCTGACCCTGGAATGTCACAGTTGATTGACACTTTGCAAACCAGTGAACATCATTTAACACCACTTGTTTTAATTGTCTTAATACAGTTTCTTTTGAATACAATTACATTAACGTCATTATACTTTAAAAGACGTTCATGTCTATCGGTTTTACGTTATGGTTGATGTTCAGGACATGCAGGGGTTACAGAAACGGTATGTTTGGAAATGGCTGTAAGTTTGTGTAGAGGAGGGAGACCTAATCTGCTCGTGACCTATCAGTTTGTACCTCACCTACCCAATCTAACCCACCTGTGCTTGCACCTGTATCAAATTCCGCTACTGTGTCCTCGCATCCAGGGCAGGTTCCAACCTTGACCAAGAAGTGAGAAACGGTAGAGTGGGGATCAGAAAACCCCTCCCAATGGGCTCCCATGTCCTCCATCCTGGTAATGTAATCTTCATCCTTCACCTCTGCTGAACTAACTGATGATCTCCCATCAGACACTTGACCGACAGAAGGGGGCGTTGTATCCACCTCCAAGGCATGAGACGTGATGAATGCGGTGAGGCTCACTCTGTTGTAGGCCTGCAGAGCGGAGAAAACAAACAGACATGAACACTGCATACACTGATGGATGAAAGACTTGCATTGTTTTGATATACACTTATGCTTTCATGCGACCACGTTTCTTTGACGATGTATGACCATGCTCTTTGATAACTCATTTGATCGTTTTATCCCAACTCCTTATTCCTAAATATGATTGAGTAAAAGCCAAAGTTTTCGAAAATTTTATGCAAAAATGACATTCACCTTCACAGTAACATACACACTGTGACCATCTTTCATTGTTTGGGAAAGGTCAAGTTCTGTACATTGTTCCTCTACTCTTCCCAATACCAAGATGTCCTGGTGCCCCGGTCTACTTCCAACATAAACATCAAAATGTTTGACTCCACTCTCTTCGTCCACAAACACACCCTCCCAGCTGAAATAATGCAACACAGCAAAAATACATCACTTATTGTCATACCTTTATTGAGCACTGTCAATATCCAGTGTAAGAGTGCAGTAGGGATATGAAAGAGTTTGATTATCTTTATGATTATGGCTGGATATCAGTGATACACTGCTGTCTGGGAGAAATCACAAGCAAAAACTGAAATAGGAGATGTGACGGAACAAAAATTGTGTACAGGTTAACTAGTTGTACGAGGAATAATCAAACGGTATGTTTCTTTCATGTAAAAACTAAAGAAGAAAACAGTGACACGTGCCACACTGGGAGGACAGGCGATGTGATGTATCTTGATTCAACTTGTATGTTCTTGCCCGTGTGATAAGGTGGAGTAGAGTCTGTGACAAAACCTAGTGAAGATACTGTTGTGTGTTGGTTGACAAAGTCGGTAGCTGTAAACATATAATCCATACTTATAATCATTCTACACAAATGAACACATATAATAATAAAAAGAATTTGGTCTGAAACACTTGTCCTAGACCATGTACCTCTGACAGTAGCATAGACGACGTGTCCGTTCTGTAGTTGAAGACCTGACAGCGTGGTGTGCTGGACGTGTCCAACGCTTGTGAACTCTCTGATGTCTTCCTCTCCTGGTATAGACCCTGTCGCATGAATCCGTTTGTAAGTTCAGCAGTGCAAACAGTAATATACATTACATACTACGCGTCCAAGTTCCTATGCTCCCTCTCAGAACATTAAACATTAGAAGCCAACATCTTCACAAATTATGAGGTATACATCTAAGTGTACAATACTGTCCTACCTAATGCAACTTGATAGAAAGCGATGCCGCTCGCATGTGAACTCCATCCTTCCTCCTCCACATCAACAAAACCAGACCAGTCAACCCTCACCTCAGATGTGCTGATCTGTGAGAATATTGAAAGTTCATGGATGATTGATCATTATTTCTTCTTATATTAAAACACACACATTCACTTCATAGGAATAACAGAAAATAACAGCTCAGTCTGTAAAAATACTGCAAAGTATCTCACTTTTGGTTTCGGGAATGATTCTATAATCATTTGGAGAGAACGTTCAATATATCCAGTCAATAGCTTCAATATGTTTTTCCCAAAAGCCAACCGTTTTTTTTTGACTACCCGCAGTCTTAAGGTTATGTTACTAACCCATAAAAAAAATAACACTTTTGAAAATCACAACACAGCTTTGCTAAAGCAAAGGCCACAGTACGATGCCCACTATATCATAAACATTCGTTCACAAAACACTATCCAGTCACTATCACATAAGGGGTTTCCAAAATCGAGGTTTTATCTTGAACCACCGGTGGCGCCTGTTACAACACATGTAAAAATTAGTCAAATATAACTTAAACAACCAAGGCAACATATTTTTGTTACCAATGCAAACAAATAAAACGTTTACAAAATACAATAGAATAGGTGATAGAATTAAGTAAATAATATCTGACATACTTGATATGCGTTTTCCTTTAGCCCCTGGATGGTGATCGAGCCTGGAGATGGTGGGGTGAGATCAACAGTGATACCGTCACTACAAGCAGTCACCTCTTCCAAGACAGTTATCCACTTCTCATACGTCACTTCCATCTCATCAGCATGAATACAGACGTAGAACCTTTGTCCATGGGGAAGTTCTTCTTTCTGGTCAAAGTGTATGTTGACAAATTCCTTTCCTAGACAACGAACAAAACACAATGAGAATACGGGATTCAGTGCGGTATTTTCTGTATAAAGATGAGTCCTTATGATCATTGTTCAGTGTCCTCACCAAATGACCATGTTGAAGCAAATGGAAAATGGTGAGAAAGTAGCAAAATAATTTGTAATTTTGAACTGAGAAAAAAGTTGAACTTAAACGAATATACTCCAGTTATCACCAAGAAACTACATACAAATGATTGTGAGGCCACCGACATAACCTGTGCTCATCACAGCTTCACCTGTTTCTCCACACTTGATGACATCGGCCAAGGCACATGGGTCAGAGACAGTCATTAGACTCTGCCGCTTGAAGTGAGATGTAGGGTCTAGCTTGTGACCAGCTACCACCGCCCACTTGTACTTCCTGTGACGTAGACTTGGCCACACAGCTGACAGGATGTTTTTGTAGGGAGTATAGTCGACATCCAGCATGGGCCAGAGGGCATTTTGTTCTAAGATGATGTCGTTCCAAATGCCTTCTGCAATCTTTGATCCTGCCAGGGAATACATGGCATGCATGTAAGCAAGTAAGTGTCTAGTATTACATGTAAGACGAAAAACTTAAACAGATCCATCATTATTGAGATTAGCTTCTAGTAATGTGAGTGAGTGAGTTGATACTTAGCGTCACATCAGCAATGTTTCGCGACAAGGACAAATTTGACGTTGATGATGAATATGTGTATATTACAAAACCTGTCGTCAAAGGACAGTAAAGGAGCTAGACTATCACAATTAGAATTAAAACTAGCATGTAAAGTTAACACTAAAGCACTATTTGGACAAAACATAATATAGAAACAGGCTATAGATCGCCAACATGAATGAGTTAGTGACTTAAGATTTAAAGTCACATCGGCAATATTTCAGCCATATCGTAATTAAAACAAGGTATAGATTTATAATGATTAAAAATTAAATTATGAAACCTGTCAACAAAGGACAGTAAAACAACTAGATTATCACAGATATATTTTTAAAACTAGTCACTGAATCTAAAACATTTTATCTATAGAGGACAATACAATGTAAAAACGGGCTATAGATCGCCAACAAATGAAGGTAGATCACCACACTAGGGACCATGGGGACTTACAGTACTTTTGTAACCTACATGGATCCTAGCTGGATTTATACCATCCCTTCAGGTGTTGGCGATTATGGAAAAATTTATCCGAACCACTGAGTGAATAGTATAATGTCCTTTCAAATATCTAGTGAGTGTTTTGGGGAACATGACACGTGAAAAAGGCTTCTGCTGCAGATTTAGGTTTTGAATGTTTTCCTCATGCCTAGTCACTCCTGACCAAGAACCTTTTGACTTGTGTCCCTCCCATATACGCAAGTAACACTCATGATGTTGATCACTGGACTGTCTGGTCCAGACTCGATTTTTTACAGACCGCTGCCATATGGCTGGAATATTGCTGAGTGCGGCGTAAAACTAAGCTCACTCACTAACTCACACATAGCACGTGCGTGGAAGAGTTTTAGCAGCAGAAATGATGTGGTAGCAGTCATCAAAATCTTGAGAGAAACTTGTACAGAGTCTCAAAGATTATTTATTCGGAAAAAATACTTTTGTTCAGCAAAAGTCAGCATAACGTTTAATAATATTACCAAACGCATCCTACTGAGGTATATGAATATTATACTGTTATTTCAAATATCTAACCAGTGGCGTCAATGACAAGTGAAGGCTTCACCAGAGGTGGATCAAAGGCAGAGCAGTTTCTGACATCAGCAGACACTACGGTAGAGAGCCCTACTTCGTTGTACCCTCTGATGGCTAGCCTGCGGCACTTGCTGAAATCTAGCGGTCTGGAGAAGCTGATCTTGAATAAAACCTGACCAGTTGATAAACCAAAAAATGCATGTGATTATCAAGAATCGTGTCATGTTGAAATCAAAACGGTGTTTTATACATGGGATCGTTAGTTCTTTCGTATTCCATTTTGTATTTCTTAGGTTACCTGATTTCCCTGATGAGTCAGATTGGCCACAGGTGCCCACTCGATGAGGAGTCCATGATCGATCAAACTCCACTCATACCTTTCCATCACAGTATACGACTCTGACGTAGCAGGTATGTCGCGATCGCGGAAACAATCCATTGCAACCTCCAGCTATGCAAAGAATAAGGGAAAGTGCAACTTGTATTTTTTGTTCCATCATACAATGACCCATGAGAAGAAGAACAATTGGAGGTGATTCCTATATGATTGATGATCAGTTTGTTGAAACACTATAATATGGACATGATGGCCTATTGCATGAGTGCGATTGTAAGTAAGGATGTCTCAATGTTACACCTTAGACCAGTCTGTCAACACTGTATGGAATATATGGAAGAGCTATCATCTTTCCGTAAGATCCATGTATATTTCTCATAGCTGAAACTATAGTTCTGGACATTCCCTCATAACATGAATGGCTACCATTGTGCTCACTTGGGACGAGATCTCTGTCTCGGAGTATGTAATGTTGATACCCCCAGCTACAGGGGGATGGGGAACTACAGTCACTCCATTGCTGTGTACAGGCCTGGTGCAGACTCTCACGACACAAAACATGACGGCAGCCCTGTAGGTTTGTCCACGGTCCAGGGAAAGTCCACTTAACACTGCATTGTCAGCGACTCCTAGACTTGTGTACCCATCAACAGTGTGCCACAAATCATCTGGTGATAGATTGTGAGTATCTTAGGCTTTAATTCTTATGTAAAAGTGTATGAAATATCCAAGATATGTATGGAATCTTTTCCCTTCAAACCAAATTCATATCCAAATCATTTGAGTTTGGCAGAAGAATCCCCTGAAAGTAGATTTTGATGAAAATTCTAAGAGTATTCTCAAAGAAATTTCAGTCGAGGCCTTTTGGCAAATACATGGTCAACCATTACATGTCAAATACAATCTTCCATGGTTTATTGAAAAGAAAGTCAGTGGTTTTAAAAGTTCTTAAAATCTTCCAGATTGTCAACAAGGACATTACAGCCAACCTAGATGGTGCTGAAGCCTGCACCGATGGTGTCATCACTGATTACATGGAGTGGGTGAATCATCTGAAGAGGATTTGTGCCTTCCTCGAAGTAATCACTGCTGCCATTTTGTTTATGTGTGTTTCCGTATCATTAATATCATATATTAAGAATAAAATGTGTATGTTACGAGCCTTTGACGAGCATTATACATATTTTTATTCATAATATATGTTATTAATGATACGGATAAACTCAAGGTTTATATTCTCTTATCATATGCTGTCATTCTTAAAATTACACTAAACAAGAAGCAAATCGTACGGGAATGTATAAGAAGAGAATCCAGCATTCGCGTGATAATTCTTAGCGGTACACCAAGATGAAGGTCGTTCATGACGGCGGCATATGGTTGTGACCAAACTCGCGACGACGTCATCATTGAAATGTTAAACGTTTTAGGATTCGCATGGTGTATATGGTGAGGTGAGGTGAAATTGGGTTTAACGTCGTATTTGAGAATATTTCGCTCATATGACGACCATGGGCCCTAGTGTGTGGTGATCTGCCTTCAATTGTTGGCGATCTATAGCCCGTATTTTATATTGTATTGTCTTCTTTAATTGGAATATTTTAACTCTGCGCTAGTTTTATATTTATAACTGTGATTCTCTAGTCTTTTTACTGTCCCTCGTCGACAGGTTTTAATCTTCAAAATGTTTCTACTTTCTATTGTATGGCTTGTTTTCGTCACGATATGGCTGCAATATTGCCGATGTGACGTTAAATATTAACTCACTCACTCATATGACGACGTGCATGCGTGTGTATGTGTATGTGCGGCTGCTTGTACTAGCCCAGACTGAAGCTGTTTTTTTTTAGTGCTAGCCCACTGAGATACCACGCCGCAGTGAAGCATGAATACCCCACTCAGACACATTATACTGACTCCGAGCCGACCAGTCCTTGTTGTAACCATTAATGCCGAGCGCCAGGCAGGGACTAACAAGTACCATATTTTAACGCCTTTTGGTTAGACGCGGTCGGGGATCGAACCTGCGCCCTTCCGCTCTCCGGGCGGACGCTCTAACTACCACATCACGGAGGCGGTCCATGGTGTATATGGAGGTTTGTGAAAGCAGTTCGTGTATTGACCTATTTTGCATATATATCATATGTGGATATGAAGTTTATCAGATTACATGACCTTGCAATTTCTTTCAAAATAGTTAGACATCTGGTTTAAATTCCAAAACAAATTCCCCAAATTCAAAGATTCTGTTAGCGCCAGAGTTTATCCCCTATTAGATGGTGCATATGGATGAGGTAAATTATCAAAGTACAAGTTAAAACAAGAGAAATGCATTGTGGGCTGTAAAAAAGGTAATGATAAGAATATATACCTGACCCATGGAATTTTCTTTCAATAGAAATCTGGACATCAGTGTAGGAAATGTTGAAACCAGTCACTTCCCAGCAGGCTGCAAACAAGGATGTGGACGCTTGGTAGATCGGATCAGGAACACACTAATGCCAGAGTGTAAGATACAACATCAAAAAGTGAGTAAGTGAGTGAGTGAGTGAGTTATTGTTTATCGTCACATCGGCAATATTTTAGCCATATCGTCACGAGCACAATTTATTATTATATCATATATCAGTAAAAATAGAAATTAAAAGCCTGTTGACGAAGAACCGTAAAACTACTAGTATATCACAGATATCCACTTAAAACTAGTGATGAAATCTAAAACAGTTTAACTAGAAATGACAAGACAATGTAAGAACGGGCTATAGATTGCCAACAACTGAAGGTAGATCACCATACTAGGGACCATGGGTACTTACAGTACATTTGCTTCCTACATGGACCCTAGCTGGATTTACGCCATCCCTTCAGACGTTAGCAACTTAGACAAATCTTGCCATACATTTAAAAACACAAATTTTCTACGATTAAAAATAATGGAGAATTTCAGTTTACTTTGAATGTTTGTGGACCTACGTATCCTCTCAGGAATTGTACAGTACTTTAACCCCCTTTAAGGATACAGCCACTCACAATCTAAGTTACCAATTTAAACTTCCAATTATAAAATATTTATCTATTTACCAAATCATGTGACAAATCTTTTTCTTTTAAAAATGCAATAACTAAATGAGAATTGATATTATTAGAAAGATCTTTCATAGTTCGTGATTTGAAACCTCAAAAAGTGAACATGCAAGAGAAATAGCCTGAATGGATATTTGCAATAATATGTAATCGTTGTAATCCGACAACTTCATATTCTGTAATTTATTTACGCTATGTACGATGAATGAATCGTCAGTGTGTTCTCGTGACACACTTTCAGAGGAGGAAGTTGGGTATACTTACAGGTGCATCTCGAGTGCTGGTCTTGCTGGTTGTCTCATTATGAAGTCCTGCAATGAAAATAGCATTACTCACTAATTAAAGCATTTACGCTGCTTTATAAAATAGTCTGGTCAAAATTATGTTCAGATAAACAGGCTTTTATTCACTATTCCATCCTACCATTTGAACATCTCTCTCCATCTCTCACTGTGACACGGCCACCTACATCTTCATTGTATCTGATGATCCTGACCCCGTCCGATGACTGGCTGACTTCTCCAGCAGGTGTCCATGCCTTTACTGTCACATAGTAAACCTAGAAGTTGAGAAGAAGAACTTTATTCGTATTCAAGGCCTCGTGGGCAAAAGTACAAAAATGTATATACAGTCGAGCACCGTTGTGTCGAACTCTGATAACTCGATATCTCGGTTGTGTTGATATAACATCTCGGTCCCGGCAAAATCCCTCATAATTCATCATTATTCAAGCTCTTTAACTCGAAACGGATGTCTCGATATTTCGGATATCTCGATATAATTGCATGGTCCCAACAAGCAAAATTACCCTTTTAACTCGATATTTGCAAAGAAACTCGATATTTGATATGTGATATGTGATGATATGCCTTGGTCAGATGTCTCGAAGCTCGGATAAGTCGATAATGTTTCTTGGTCTTATGAATATCGAGAATATTTCAGTGCGCATGGATATCGAAGTGATTATTTTCATATAATACAAATTATATTGGTAGATTTCATTTCAAAAAGATTGCTAGATTTTTAGCATTCTAAATTTGGCGAAGACATTACCAAATTAAACTGTTCATGTGTTGGATAAGTATAAAAATAAGGTAACAACAGTTTTCTGCTTTCATCATAGGATGGACAAACTAATAAAAAGTGAAATTCATCTTGGATGACGTTATATTACATTTTGTACACTTCAGTAATTCAGTATTTACATTTTCATCATATCGATATTGCTGTACATTAAGTTTATAGCTCATGCATATAAATTTACACAGAATATGTAGTAGGTGTCTATTCGGAGTAAACTCAAAATTTACAGCTCTGGTTCAAGAAATGATGATGAACTTAATTACTTTGCCATATTTGATACTGAATATATTTAAATCTCTGTTTAAAACATTGCATAAAACATTTTATATCTCCGCAATCTTGGGAGATCTATGAAAACCAGTCTCCATTAACGAGGTACAAACATGTGACACACGACTGACACCACCATTGTCTTCATATGACTTAAGCATTAAATAACATGCCTTTGGATAGCGACTAGTTTCCATGCTTAATAGCCTTGTCTAATATTTAATACATCTGTAAAACTAGTTAATACAGCTATGATCTTCCAACTTCACCAAGTATAGCGGTACTAGATGCAAATTTACTGACACCAATATATACCTTAAGGAAATTGTTGTGTATCTTTTCAATATTATCTCTTACAATATAGCCTCATATTGCAGAACAATATAAACATATTGCTGCTATTTTGGTATCAAATGTTTGAGAAATTTTATTCAGTGGGATTAAAAGATACTTCTTAATAAGCTGACAAATGAGAAAGCAGGCCTTTTTAGCTTGAAGGGCTAACGTTTGACATGTCTTTGACCACACAAGTTTTGATGAGAAGATTATACCTAAATATTTATAATATGATACAACATTAACCTTTTCCCCAACATACGTCCATTTCTCACTGTATTTAACATAGTCTCCATTTCCAAATGCGACAATACATGATTTATCCAAGTTTACATGTAAACTCCATTTATCACAATACGTTCTTAACAAACCAATAACGGTGTCATCTAATAATGTTACATCATCAGCAAACAGAAGTAATAGGATATCGTCAGTTCAATCTCTCACAAATATCCCTCTTAATGTTCCATCTCTCACAAATATCCCTCTTAATCCGAAGGTCTTAGAGTCTTCAATTAAGTCATTAATAAAAAAGATAAAGAGGACAGGGCTAAGAATACAACCCTGGCAAACTCCAGATGAGGTTGTAAATACTCCAGTTTTGACAAGCTGCAAGCATGGTTGCTGAAGACTAATTCTAACCCAGATCTTCACGGGTTGCTCATGAAAGAAAATGCAGATCAAACCACAAATAACTGATTTTGCAACTAAAAGCTATCCAATATTATCTATTAAAAACTGGATCGGGTCATCAGTTATATCTGATATCCAAAAACAGGTTTGATAATGTTCACTTACAGTGTTTACATTAAGTATCAAGTTGTTAAACTTGTGTGACATGGATTCTTCAACATCTGCATAGGCGCGGACGTTTTGCATTCCAGGAGTTGTTCCAATACAGACGCTGTACTTGACCCCAGACCGGCCATCGTCAAACCCAAACCATTTTGTTTCAAGCGTGGTGGTGGATAACTGGAGATCGGAATCCACGAAGTCCTGAAAAGAAACAAGATACCAAAAACATTTAAAGCAACAACTGATTGTCTTGATGTGTTTTCCAAATGAAATATTTAATGTATTTTCGTATAAACTATGGCGTAGTTAATACATTCATTTAACCTATATGACCCAGGTTGATTTACCGTGATGTCAAAAAGGTCTTGTTCTTTCTGTGGACAGATATCAAAAACCACACCCAGAGACGGTAGTCTGTCATCATGGACATAAGGGTCCGACACACCAATTGTCCACAGTCCAATAATATTGATAACTTTCACCGATACATAGTAGGTTTGTGCATGATGTAGATCCCAGTGAAGGTCGCTGGTGGCGACAGCTGTACACGATGGCGATCTAGTGACAGTACACCCTCCGCCAGACAGGAGAGGGAGGAAGGGGAGGATCTCGGAGCCACCCGGGGACGAACCTGAAGACATCATATATTGCAACAATTGTTAAAACACTTTTCTAAAGAGGAACACTTGTTATGAATATATAACTTGTTTATTGCAATGTGTAGATGCTAACACTATTATCAAGCAAATTATTACAACATAGAAGTTGTCTATCCATAAAAGGTGTTCCTCTTCATCATACCAGCTTTTAAATTTCACTTAAATGAGATATTTTTCTGAGTTTAGTTAAAATCCTGTATTTTAGAATTAAATGTCAACTGAAAAACCCGAGTGTTTACAGATTGTGTCTACATACATTCGTGATGATTCACGATTTGCACATGGACCATTCTTTCTACAAATGCATGTTTGAATCCTTTTGTGGCCTAAAAACTGTTTTGAGAAATAATATAGTATTATTTCTGACAGCTCCGTTCAACAGATACCCACCAACAGCAAATTCGTAGGTCAGATAGTCTTGTTTGATATCTGTGAATGAACCAGCTGTCCACGTGGCGACAAGATGGTTGTCGTGTAAGCCAATAGTGATTGGTGGTGTGAACACTGCCGCCTGAGTGTACACTGTGATAGGGCCCAAGACCTGCACAATGAAGAGAGTGTAGGTTGGGAGCTGCCTTGTTTGAAAAACAGCATGAAATGACTTTTAGTCAGTCAAAATTTCAAACAATTTATTTCCTGACAATATGAAAACCATTGTCATGGTTTTACGTTTTCTGTAAGCAAACGTTCATGTATATCAGACTTAAACATGATTATGTGTATCTATTCGAGGTTGTCATTACCAGGGATATTTTCTTATCTATTTAGAAAACGTCATGTTGTAGAAATCTCACGTGTAAGCGTGTATCTGACGTACCTCAGTGACATGTAGTGCAGCTTTATTTATAGACTTTACTGCAACATACACCTGCTGCCCTCCACTGAGATGCGGGTGATATCCTTCATAGTGAGGATGGTGGTGCGTGGATGTGTAGGGAAGGATGTCTGGAGCTGCTTCCCGAGATGCGTCAGACATAAGTCCCAGCTGATAGTCATAGATACCACTCTCAGCGTCACTGCTAGTCCAGTTGACATAGAGCTGGAGTAATAGGAACGCCGATTATATATGAATTGAATACTGAAACTATACTCAGTAGAAAAAATAACTGGTCAGTACGAATTCATAATATGATTGGCACTGTAATCAAATCATTACAGAAATGGACATAATAAGTGGATCAACAACATTTTTTTGTGTACAATATCTTGATACATCAATGAATAACTCAACTTCAAGACATTACGTGAACGTTTGCAGTTCATTCAGCTCTTGACTTCAGTATCTAGTGTGACCACCACGAGCGGCAATGACTGCAGCACAGCGTCTATGCATGGAGTGCACCAATCGACTGATGAAGGCCATTGGCACCTGGAACCACTCTCTGAGAAAGGCCTGGCGCAATAGATCGGCTGTGTTCGTCCTTGGTATGGCATTATTCAGTCTCCTCTGAATTTCATCCCAAAGATGTTCAATTGGGTTTAAATCAGGACTAAGGGCTGGTCACTGCATAATGTTGACACCATTCTGTTGTAGGAAGTCCCGTGTAGCTTTAGCAGTATGGGCCCGGGCGTTATCAGGCTGGAAAATATTTTTTCCGGTGACGTGGGAAATGTGGTATGACGTGGGGTCTGAGAGCTTGGTCGATGTAGCGCACCGCTGTGATGCCGCTTTCTCTCCCTGGACCAAGGTTCTGGAACACCACAGGACCCACTCTCTGGTTCGGGCCTATTCCACCCCATACCATGATGCTTGCACCTCCCCATGAGTCTCTTTCCATAACACATTGGTCTGAGTAACGCTGGCCACGTCGTCGCCATATTCTTGTTCTGATATCTGCATTTGATACGCAGTACCGACTCTCATCTGTGAAGAGAACAGTTCTCCTTTGCCTGTATCGCCAGTTTTGGTGTTGTAGGGCAAACTGTAGACGTTCACGTTGATGGCGAGGGGTGAGGATAGGCCCACGGTAACGTCTACGGCAATAGAGGTTCCCGCTGTTAAGACGTCGGCGTACTGTTTCAGTACTGATTGGTCTTCCGTGTGTTCCCACTGTCTGGCGTGTTGTTTCGGATGCCTGCATGAAGGGATTCTGTACATGCTGTCGCACAACATGGCCAGTACGGAGGCGATCATTCGTGGTGTTGGTGGCCCCGAAACGTTGCGGCAGCCTATAGCTGGTCCAAACGTGAAAATGATTGGCAACGGCTTGTGCAGAGTAGTGTAGCCAGCTTCAAGTCTTCCTAGCGCCTGGTTCATCTGAGCTGTCGTGAGTCGCGGTTTCTTGCTCACGTTGCAATGTGAATGGTTCAACCAGGTTTGGGGGGTGCATTTTATAGGGCCGGTCCTTGCAGCATAAGTTGCATGAAAAACATGGGTAACACCGTACCATCTCCGAGGACAGGTTGCGCTTTTGAGACCATTTCGTGGGTTCATTTCTGTGTTTGGGAAGGAATGACTTTGCTCAGGTAAAGTTGGAGATGTTGAAAAAGCTATACAATCAAAAAATTACATGAGTTTACAGTTATCCGTTTCTGCGAAGGAAAATTTCAAACTGACGTTTCTTTTGCTGCTTAGTATATTTGATTGTACGGTGAAAGTGTCATTGTGGATTAGAACTCACGTGATGTCTCTGTGACATATAAAACTGATTGACGGAGCTGAGCAGAAAGGCTTGGTGTTGACTGCAGGACAACGCTTTGTTTGTTACAGTTGAACCATTCAAAAGTTTATGAAGGGGAAGAAGAGATAAGCTGTGATTGCTTATCACTGCTGCCCGAATTCTGCAACCAATGATTTCTAGATTGAGGAGGTGCAATCTAACGTTCAATTTAAACTACCTAAATGTCAATAAAAAGTATAATTATGTTCAAACGTTTTCAGACATATATTTTTACATATTTCCTTGTAAATAGTTTTAAGGCTGAAGTTCCAAATAATATATACCTGCAACCACTATCCGGCTTTTCAATCTGACTCATCCTCCTTTCTGCAGTGACGAGCCACACTTCCTCGCCATTCGTCACTAGACCTTCAGTAGTGCGGGAGTTGAGGACAGCAATCTGGGCAAGAGACGGTGGTGTCTGGTCTACGGTTACTCCATCAGAACAAACTGGAAGAGATGGCTCCAGAGCTCGGTTGAAGGCGACTACTGTGATATAGAACTTGCCTTCAGAAGGGGCTGTCCAGGAAGCATGAGTTGAGGACGTTTCGGTCACCTGTGTGTAATGAGTGAACAGTCAGGTGTTACACAATACTCAGCAACCTAACGATTCCATCGAAATTAAATTATTACTTTGTGAAAATTCATTTCTACTACAAAGGTGTTGTTGCATGTGAGACAACAGTTGCTTTCATACTTACATTGGGTGATGACAAATCAAGGCCGAAATCCCTTATCTCAAGACAATGATCAGCATAACCGTACTGGTAAAACTTGACTCCGCTTTCTCTGTCAAAGAATCCCTCCCAGTGGGCATGGAGCTGCTTACTGTCTTGGTAGTCAATTTCGGAGTGGCCCCTATGAGTGGCCCCTTTGACAATCGTGAACAGTACCAGTGTGCGGTGGACTGGAGTCAATGGTCACCTAATCAAATATCACAGATGAATAGCATGACACAACGTGTTCAGATCCCGAAATCAAAGAATATTCAACCTAATTGGTTTGATGAAGAATGCGAAAGTTCAAAAAAATATAAGTTCTACTGGCTTAATATGTTCCGCAAATGCAGATGAAATGAAAATCTAAAGCATGTGAAACATTAGCTTTACAAGCTAGGAAGGCTTCATTTTCGATATTTTCTCTTTTCAGAACTTATCAAAATATCTCTTTGAAAGTGGCATCTACTATATTTGATAGCAAAATTGCACCGATTCTTCTTTATGGTGCAGAAATATGGGGGTTTACCTATCGTGCAAACATTGAAAAAATACAAAGTAATTATTTCAAAAGATATCTTCGTGTTAGCAAAACTGTGTCTTCAAATATTGTACTCGGTGAAACAGGTAGAAGCCATCTTTGTGTACAGTATTTCACCCGTTGTATAAAGTACTGGTGTAGACTCCTGAATATGGAAAGTTATCGTATTCCAAAGGCATGCTATGAAATGTTAAAAACATACGACGACAATGGTGGTCGAAATTGGGTATCCCATGTACGCTTACTTTTATTTCACTCTGGGTTTTCTTTTTGTGTGGTTATCGCAAGATTGTGGCGAAGTAACAAGTTTTATAAGTGTTTTTACACAAGATGAGTATCATTTCTTACTCGTATGTCCATTTTATTCACAACAACGCTCTTTGTACATTCCTGATTTTTATATTATATCTACAACCAGATCAAAGTTTACTCAGCTGCTTGCAACAAAGAATGTAAAACTCCTAAGAAATATTGCAATTTATCTTAAACTATATATACCTGTATAAATTGTAAATTGTTCGTCTGACCATGTGCTATATTTTGCTTATTGAATTGTACTGTTGGTCATGTGGCCATAAATACTGAATATACTTCTTCTTCTTCTTCTTCTTCTTCTTCTTCTGAATATAGCTCTTCTTCTTCTTCTTCTTCTTCTCCTTCTAAACAGGTGCTAAATACGTCATTTGTATGTTAACAAACATGTTTTACAAACCTTAAAATCTAGAGATGTTGTGAGTTTGGCATGATTCATCACGGTAACTTCAAGATAGTAATCCGAGTCATGAACCCCTTTGTCCTTGTCATGGAAGATCCCTCCGTGTGACAGGTTGGCTGATACAATCCTGGGCTTGATCTGGAAATGTCTGTGGTAACATCCAACTCCAGGGGTGCAGTAACATTTAGGGCCTCTGGATGCAGTCTGGTATTTATTTTCACAGTCCACCATGTCCTGAAGACCATTTGATGGGGTTTGTATTAAGGTATTGTTGATATTTCATAGTAATCATATCAACCTAATATTGCGAAAATCGAAAGGATTTACCTGTGCCTCACCCTGCGCGGAAATGTGCTCGATACCATGGACGAGATCCCCACCTGTGTAATTATCAAATAGTCGCCAGGTAACTGTTTCCAAACCACTGTGATCATCATAACTCACCCACTCCATGCTGAAAGTTAAACAGGGGATTATATAGATCGTATTATTATAGGATATTTATATAGCGCACATATCTACGCACTGGTGCATGCTCAAGGCGCTGGTATTTTCCCCTCGATCATTGGATGTCAATCTGAACAGCACATCGCATTATCAATCTCAACTCCCTGGGGAGTATACAACTCTTGCAGCCACTAGGCGCACCGAGTTATTGTGGCTTTCTCATCCTAACGAGGTACCCATTCACAGCTGGGTGGACTGGGACACATAGTCACAGTACTTTGTCCATGTTCGTTTAACGGTGCTATAATCAACAGTGGTTATCGGAAGTAAGATATATTCACAATACAGAGAAGATATGTCACAATTTCTTTGTACGATCAACACGTCCTGGTAAAGGTACTACCGCTTGGATAATACAGCTTCAAGAAGCAACTTAATGTTCCTCTCTTAATATACCTGCTGGGTACATGTTCAAAGTGAACCTTTGCAAAGGGCTCTAGTGGCATATGACGTTCGGCAAGGATCCGTCTTACGTCCGATTTTGTTCTCTCTGTATACATCTCCTAATGGAGACATCGCCAGCTGCAGGAACCACGGATTAGGATATTATCTATATGCAGTGGATACTCAGTGGTATCTGGTTTTCAGGCCACAAAGTGGATATTTAATTTAACATTCCTTGCAATTACCAATTTTGTCAACAATTTCCTCAATCAAATGAAGGAAAATCTGAGTGTCTATTTCAGATTTTCACTCCCTCCTGTTATTATTCACAGGTCTTTCCTGTCATATCAGAAATAACGATGATATACCACCTCATCAACAAGAAGACAGTACTTACACCAGCACACGCAATCTTCCAACTAGACTACTCCATTTCTTTGTTATTGCAGATGTTCTAGTCAAAACATGAACTGGCACCAGCAGATATTGGTGATCTTATTGAAAATCATCGTGCACCTCGATTTGTACGACACTGCAGCAAACAATTCTTGTCTCTACCGATATCACTCACCAGCCTATGGTGACAGAGCCTTCTGAAAAGCTGGTCAAGTCCTTTGGAATTCCTTCCAAACAACGTCATAAACATTCAGAAACTATCAGACTGCAAGTCTGGCTTGCAAACGCACACCTTCAGATTGGCATACAACTGAATACCTTGTATCAGAGCCTTTTATACTAAAGTGCCTTTGGGCAGACTTTCGTGGACTGGAAACTTTCGCCGTACAACTAATAATTATATTAATATATGCGGTAGTAACCTCTGACATCCAAGCTGATACTTTAGCCTCCTTGTGTATAAGTACAGATCATTCAAGATTACTCTCAGCATTTGCAATGTGATGGCTGATATTCTATTACCACTAAGCATACCCATGTATCCCACTGTTGACTGTCAACATTACTTACACCATTTGATTGAATTCATCTACGTTATGTACACTGACATTGAGCCTGTACCCCCCGAGTCACAGGTTCTCAATGATAGGGGGTGATGTGTCAATGTGGACTGTCACTGTCTCCTCCAGATACTCCTCCCGGATGTCATAAGCCCTGATCCAGTAGCGGAGAGTGTCCCCGTCAACCAAAGGGGGTGAGATTGTGTGGGACTGCTTCAAGTAGAGGCTGCTGAATTTGGAGTCATCTGGAACTGTTCCTATTGACGTTCCCCCCTTGTGGTCCACTTCGTAAGCATATTTTAGGGCAACAATTCCTGAGAAGGACAATAGTCAATGATAACATTTCTTATGCTTGGTTTCAATCAACATTTATGATGAAGATGACATCTGTGAATTAGCCGTTTCATTGAGTGAGTGAGTTAGTAGACCTATTTTAATGATATAAACACCAATTCAGTAGTGGTCACAAAGGGGGACGTTTGAGTGAGTGAGTCAGTCAGTCAGTCAGTCAGTTAAAATTTAAAGACACACCGACAATATTTCAGCCATATCGTGACTACAACAAGTTTTTAACTTTATCATAAATACATGTAAATGTAATTCACTAAACGTCTGTCAACGAAGGACAGTAAAACCAACTGGAATATCACAAGCTCAAGAAATAAAACTAGTATATATCTCTTACAAATTAAGACAATACAGGGGGGGCGCTTCACGGTTGAAAGTACTTTCATACGTTTTCTCAAACATATGGCAGAAACACAGACTGATATTCTGAAAAGGGACGTAAATGAGAAAATGTCGATCTCGAAATTCCCACCTTGTACATTTGGTATCTGATCCACACCACGGCTGTACCCTTGGTCATCATACTCCTCATCAATATTAGGAACTGATAATACCCTCTCCAACCATTTGTTTCTGTGGTGTAGCGTGTTGATGTAGCGATGGTTCCAGTCGATGGTGACCGAGTCCGATGTCCACTGCCACTCCCATGAAGATATCTCTGCAGCTGACGTTGCACGTAACACGGTGTTTGGTGTCGTCTCCACTTGGGATTCCCCATCATGGATCATGATTCTTCTGGCACATTTAAAGTTCCCAGCTTTGTCAATGGCAGCAATTTCTACTGAGAATATCCCATTTTCTTTGAGGTGTAGTCTTCCTGTGTTCTAAAATTAAACGTATGCTATTTAAGAATGTAAACATTGTTATTATCTAATAGAAGCGACAAAACCCTTTAGAAATCCATGAGAAATCTCCTAAAAGCAGAGTCGTGTGTACAATTCTGACTGTATCATGACTATGTAGTTGTTTCAGCAGTATTTGTAAACAATCGAGTCTGGATTAACTAGACTTATAGTTTGGCATGAAATGCATGTGGACCCGTTTTTTTGTAAATATCTCTTCCGCCAAAAGTAACACTTCCGCTGTTACAGGTCATTGGCTCACTCCCTCTGCAAGCAGTTTGCGTTCTGCTGTTTATTTTGTTGACAGTTACATAGACAAATTCTTTAATACAAATGCATAAAATCGGTGATTTACAATGTGATTACGTTGTCTGACAAAACATACACTTGCACAGTTTGAGATCGATTGGGTCATTGGATGAAGAGATATTTACAAAAAAACGGGTCCACATGCATTTCATGCCAAACTATACAGTCCGTTTGAGTCAAAAACGGACAGATGAATTTCAAATTTTATCATTGTACAAAATTGCCACCTAAATATAAATAGTACCCATGTTTATCATTTACTAATACCCAACAGCTTTCTTATATTTGAAAATTTTCCGGACTTCACCAAAAATGTTCTTTAAGAAACTATCATCATTGAAAACGCAAAAGTTGTTATCTGTCGCGACGGGGTGAAACCGCAGAAACGGAACAGCCAGTCATGGCGGGGGACATCTCAAAATCTATTCCGGGCGTCACGTAATCGAAAAGTTGTGTTTGATCTGGCAACATCTCCTTTAACAATACCCCATATCATTTCAATGGGGTTAAGGTCACAGTGATAGGGTGGAAGTCGCAGAATATCGTGACCTTTACTTTTTATGTAACTGTCAACTTTGTGGAAAGGTTCACCTTGTACATGGGTACTATTTATATTTAGGTGGCAATTTTGTACAATGATAAAATTTGCAATTCATCGGTCCGTTTCTGACTCAAACGGACTGTATGTAACTAGACTGACCATTAACACACGTATGTTACTCAGAATTTGATTAAGATTCTTTAAGCATTAAATAAACGGAATATAACATGTTTACCATGCATCTTACCTGAGTGGCATTAAACGTTTGCATTTGATCCACATTTTTCATGCGAAGTCCACCTTCACCGGCAATAAACTCCATTTCAAATACCTGGAATTCAAACCTTCGTATGCCAGATGTGTCGTCGCTCCATCCATGCCAATGAACATTAAATGATGCCTGTAAAAAATCAAGAAAACACACATGAGTACAGTTAACTAAAACGAATCATGTAAATTATGACAAATGTAAATTATGAACAAATGTCAAGTACACATACCCCAAATATTAAGTATAAACCCCTACATGTATGGTTTCTTAACGATCAATGTTCTGGAAATATTTGTAACATTTCCATTGAAGTGTTTGGAAATGTTTCATCAGCAAATAGTGTGAAATGAAATTAGACTTTGAAACATAAGCATTTAAAATGCATTGATATCGTATGTAAAAACGTGGGTATATGAAACAAAACGGATGTGTCACCTATGCAAACAATATTCTCACCTGTTTACTTGTCTTGTCAACAATGAGCATATCAGCGGAACATTCCCAAGTTGCATTGCAGTGATATGGACTCACATAGTCCATACCTATTCTCAATGTTGCTGTCTTCGACTGACCAGCATAGTAGTGTGTCTGCACTTTGTTGTTTTCCATGTCCTTGATCTTCACAAACCCGCCGTTTGAGGTGACGAACTGAAACTGCACTCTGTAACAAATAATGTCACGACCGATGAAAACTATGATGTACAAATCTAGGTTTCTTTGTACAAATATAAGCATTTAAGTGTCATAGCACGAAACACAACCTATCTCATCATTTAGTGAATATGATAAGTTTATGTATTGAAGCAAATCATGAAATAATGTGGCATTCTAAAGCAATATATTTGTAATAGGCAAGTATGTCTTACACATCCCCTGTTGTCAGCTCCGATGAAGTAACATTGACATCTCCAAAGCATTTGAAGAGATCTGTACGTGGAGCAAGCTCAGAAACATTCTCACAGTTAATCGACGTGGAGAAAGAGGTAATTAATTCTGTAATAGATAGAAGAAAATATAGGTACCCATTCAGTTTTATCGGCTGCCCGACCCTATGCAGCTCAAAGCTAATATTGTTTGTGGTCTGGTTCCAAACTTTTGATTTGTGATCATGACATTCTTTCATGCTGTCTGATCGGCATCCCCTCGAGGAGCAAATATATAACAAAGAAGGTTAATGTACAGTATTCAAAACCAGTTCTGACTATCCCGAGAAGCCGATTCAGTTTGGCAGGATGGGCAGACCACCTTTGAAACAAATATGAATGAACCAGTGAACATAAGTAATGACAGAGGGGGCTTCCGATAAGGTTAAGCATGCAGTGCTGAAACAGTGGAAATGGGGTATAAAGACATTGTTTTAACATTAATTTGCACATACAAAAATATCAAATCAATTCTTGATCTCTAAATAGTTCAGGTGTACCTCTGAAAATGGTTATTGTCACATTTCCCCGTTTTATGCCCACTTTGTAACCATCTATAAAGTTATGCCTGCTTGGCGGTAGTCCAGAAGGGGTGAAGTTTGTGTGAAAACCATAGTTGATGTTGTGAATGTTTTTCAGGTTTGTCCACGAGTCTTCCTGGGCCTCTGAGTTATTCGGGTCGACTGGAGCCTCGGCTGTTTCCATACCTTGGCCGTGCACAACAATTCTGTTCCATGATATCACGGGTGGTGTGTCAACTGAAGGGTTGAATAGTGAAGACACAGTCAAATCAGTGGTGACAAATTATGGTAGTGTTAAATGTAAACCTGTGGTTTCAGTTTTCAATATTGTCACCATCACTGAGTGTCTATGGTATCTACTAAAATCAAAGTTATCACAATCAGAGAGAGTATATGTTATCAGCCATATCAACCGATGAAACATTGTGTTTGTCTATATTTACCAAAAGAAGTTACTCATTATATATAATACACCAACAATTTGTTCTTTAGGTGTGGATAATGAATCGAGGCCGGGAAGTAAGAAGTGTAATAATTGTGAAGTAAACTTACTGTTCTGACAGTTTGAACCACTGAATCCAGGAGAGCAGATGCAGTTACTGGCCAGTTCCTCCTGGCAGGTGCCCGGGTAACACCACGTGCTGTCAGGACGCCATGAACATGCCTCTGAAGTTCGATAAGACAGATTATCTTATCGTATTCCTCTTGATTTGTAATCAGTTGTAAGGTGATGGGATAGGCTCATGGTGTAAATAATTTCACTCAAAGGCCCAGTTAGTGGGCCACATACTTACCATGATCCATTTCGGGTATTCTGCAGCATATTGTGTAAGACCTTGTTCACTCACTCACTCAAATCGATGACCACAACCCGTGAAGATCCGGGATAGAATAGGTCTTCAGCAACCCATTCTTGTCATAAAAGGCGACTATGCTTGTCGTAAAAGGCGACTAACGGGATCGGGTGGTCAGGCTCGCTGACTTGGTTGACATGTCATCGGTTCTCAATTGCGCAGATCGATGCTCATGCTGTTGATCACTCGATTGTCTGGTCCAGACTCGATTATTTACAGACCGCCGCCATATAGCTGGAATATTGCTGAGTGCGGTGTAAAACTAAACTCACTCACCCACTCACTCAAAACAAATTGTATTACCAGTACATATACCTTTTACTATAAACATAAGGTCTACCATCCCTAATCAGATTGATACTATAAGTGACCTTACATTGCTCGCCTTTTCTAAACGTACTTACTTCTGCAGTATTTTCTGTCAGCTGAAATGACATAAGCTCTCTGGCCCGCTTCTTCCATCACAACGCCCTCACATCTTGAGCACACTTGGCAGTCATTGCAAGGACAATCCTCAATTGTACAGTTTGAGATGTGTCGGCACCCTGAATAGACAGAGGTCGTAAGTCAGATGTACTGAAACAAATGCTTCCTCGGCTTCCACAATAATTAACAATTCACTTTACCACTGAAAGGTGACAAAATTCATTAGAAATCTCAGAAATTGCATATACATGTATATCATGTGAGTGTGCTTATGAATCACTGTCAAATTGTGATGACGTCAGGGTTTGGTGAAAAGACAAACCAACCTGCCCCATCGGTCACAAACACATGCAAAGAAAAGTTAATTCTTTCAATCTACGCTAGAAGGCAAATTAGGGAATTGCATCAGATGTGTCAAATCTGAAAATGTTTTTATATATATGCCAGAACATGTTTCAATAGCTGTAGTGAGGCCATGAATATTGCAACCTGAAGGAAACAAGACTCGTATAATGTTCTTTGAAATCTCGGTGGAAAGAGCGTGCTCGATTGTGCCTCAAAAGTTATTACTTTGTATCATTTGAAAGATATTTTACCACGCCATGTGACTATTTCTTTCTTTGCCAAGACATAGGAAGATTAGAATCATGCATCTCCGACATAGACTTTAAATAGCAACTCTCACAGGTCCAGCAACATAGGCGTATAGGTGACGCTAGTCGGACGACGTCTACGCAATACTATGCGAGGAATAGAACGAATAGATCAATCTTGACGGCAAAACATCAATATAGACGCCCCGAGTTCTGCAGACAATATTTGCGATTGACTCCACCTCAGTGGAGATAGGTCCTTTCCACTGACGAGTCATGCATCCTGTTACCAGATCCATGGCGTCGGGATGAACGTCACTTCCCTGATTGCTCTAGTGTTGCAATAATTCGTGATCTTATGCCGGCCAATGGTGTTCTTTGTCCTGTGCATAGCGACCAGGTCACAGATCAGTTGAACGTTGGTCGCGGACAGTCCTTGGATGGGTGACCGTGTTTGGCAGCTT